GTTTTCAAGTTTGTTCAAGTTGGGGTCCAAAATTAAACTTTGTTTGATTTCAACAAAAATTGAATATATGGGGTTCTTTGATATGCTGAATCTAACCATGTATTTTGATTTTTTGACATTGGACCATAATAGGTAAATTAAAAAAATTGAAGTTCTTAGACCACATTCTTTCTGTGTCAGAACCTATGCTGTGTCAAATATTTAATCACAATCTAAATTCAGAGCTGTATCAAGCTTGAATGTTGTGTCCATACTTGCCCCAACTGTTCAGGGTTCGACCTCTGCGGTCGTATCAAGCTGCGCCCAGCGAAGCATTTTATTGTAACTTCCAGACATAACTTGTGTGTAAGTGTATGGATCTCTCTGACATTGTACCACTAGGTTCCATATCACAAAGGGAATGCTAGGATTGATTTTGGGGGTAATTGCCTTCAAATTTTAGGAATTAGGGGCCAAAAAGGGTAAAAAAAACAAGCATTTTTCTAGTTTCATGACAATAACTTGTGTGTAAGTCTATAGATCTCTCTGAAATTGTATCACAAAGGGAATGCTGGGATTGATTTTGGGGGTAATTGCCTCCAAATTTTAGGAATTAGGGGCCAAAAAAGGGCAAAAAACATGCATTTTTCTAGTTTCATGGCAATAACTTGTGTGTAAGTGTATGGATCTTTATGAAATTGTACTACAAGGTTCCATATCACAAAGGGAAAGCTAGAATTGAGTTTCAGGGTAATTGCCCGAAAAGTTTAGAAATAAGGGGCAAAAAATAAGCATTTTTCTAGTTTCCAGACAATAACTTGTGTTCAAGTGTATGGATCTCTCTGAAATTGTACTGCAAGGTACCATACCACAATGGGAAGGCTGGGATTGATTTTGGGGGTAATTCCCTCAAAATCTTTTTAGTAATTAGGGGCCATAAAAGGGCAAAAAAACAAGCATTTTTCTAGTTTTAGGACAATAACTTGTGTGTTAGTGTATGGATCTTTATGACATTGTACTGCAAGGTTCCATATCACAAAGGGAAAGCTGGGTTTGAGTTTGGGGGTAATTGCCCTAAATGTTTAGGAATTTGGGGCCAAAAAGGGGCAAAAAAAACCAAGCATTTTTCTAGTTTCCAGACAGTAACTTGTGTTCAAGTGTATGGATCTCTCTGAAATTGTACTGCAAGATACCATACCACAAAGGGAAGGCTGGGATTGAGTTTGGGGGTGATGAATCATAAGGGGGTTCAAAAAATTTGGGGGGGATTTTTTTTTCCTTTTTTTTTTCTTTAAAATTTTCCATTGTAAATTGGTTATCTCTGATTTATATATAAAAGCAAATAATAATGATATGGTTTGAATAGGTAAATTAAATTTTTTTAAGTTCTTAGACCACTTTCATTCTGTGTCAGAAACCTATGCTGTGTCAAATATTTAATTACAATCCAAATTCAGTGCTGTATCAAGCTTGAATGTTGTGTCCATACTTGCCCCAACTGTTCAGAGTTCGACCTCTGCGGTCGTATCAAGCTGCGCCCCAGCGAAGCATTTTATTGTAACTTCCAGACATAACTTGTGTGTTAGTGTATGGATCTCTCTGACATTGTACCACAAGGTTCCATATCACAAAAGGAATGCTGGGATTGATTTTGGGGGTAATTGCCTCAAAATTTTAGGAATAAGGGGCCAAAAAAGGGGCAAAAAACAAGCATTTTTCTAGTTTCATGACAATAACTTGTGTGTAAGTGTATGGATCTTTCTGAAATTGTACTACAAGGTTCCATATCACAAAGGGAAAGCTGGAATTGAGTTTGGGGGTAATTGCCGAAACTTTTAGGAATTGGGGGCCAAAAAGGGGCCAAAAATAAGCATTTTTATACGCCCGTTTACGGGACGTATTATGGTATACCGTTGTCCGTCCGTCATCAACATGTCGGACATTTATTCTAAAATGCTTTAACCAATATGCATGAAACTTTAGTAAATTGTTTATATCTATTGATGTGAGCTCCCTTTCTTTTTTTATAAATTTCGGATTTACTGTTTCCGAGTTTTGGGGATTTATTCATTAAAAAAGGGGGGATTTTCCAGTTATCGGACAATAACTCGAAAACAATTTCACCAATTTACATGAAACTTTTGTGAATTGTTAATAATCTATTGACATGAGCTCCCTTTCGTTTTTTATAAATTTCAGATTTACCGTTTCCGAGTTTTGGGGTTTTATTCATTAAAAAAGGGGGGATTTTCCAGTTTTCGGACAATAACTCAAAAACAATTTCACCAATGTGCATGAAACTTTTGTGAATTGTTCATATCTATTGACGTGAGCTCCCTTTTGAGTTTTATAAATTTCAGACTATACGTTTCCGATTTATGGAGTTTTATTCATTACAAAAAGGGGGATTTTCCAGTTTTCGGTCAATAACTCAAAAATGCTTTCAGCATTTTTTATGAAACTTTGGTAAATTTTTTATATCTATTTTTGTAAGCTCCCTTTTGATTTTTATAAATTTTCGATTTTATGTTTCCGAGTTATAAGATTTTATTTGTTTATAGTCTGACAACAGATTTACTAAGTATTACGCAACAGCACAGTGTATTGCACAACAGCAAGAAATCTTTCATATAACCAATTTCAAGTTCTTTTACTACATTTATTCAGAAACCTATAATATATCAAATATTTAATTACAATCCAAATTCAGACCTGTATCAAGCTTGAATATTGTGTCAATTTTTGCCCCCACTGTTCAGGGTTGGACCTCTGCGGGCGTATCCAGCTGCGCTCAGCGAAGCAGTTTATTTTAGTTTCCAGACAATAACTTGTGTTCAAGTGTATGGATCTCTCTGAAATTGTACTGCAAGGTACCATACCACAAAGGGAAGGCTGGGATTGAGTTTGGGGGTGATGAATCATAAGGGGGTTCCAAAAATTTTGGGGGGGGGATTTTTTTTTTTTTCCTTTTTTTTCTTTTTTCCTTTTTTTTTTCTTTTAAAATTTTCCATTTTAAGTTGGTTATTTCGGATTTATATTTAAAAGCAAATAATAATGATATGGTAGGAGATACACACCAAACAGGATGTGTAAATTATTAAATAATAAGTATTGTGCAATAGCAAGAAATTTTCAATTGCACAGTATTGCACAATAGCAAGAAATCTTCAATTGCACAGTATTGCGCAATAACAAGAAATCTTCAATTGCACAGTATTGCGCAATAGCAAGAAATATCCAATAGCACAATATTGCGCAATAGCAAGAAATTGTCAATTGTACAGTATTGCGCAATAGCAAGAAATATTTAATTGCACAGTATTGTGCAAAAGAAGATACTTCATATAAATTGCTTATTTCTTGACCAATTTCAATGGGGTTTTATTCTTGAATTCTTGGGGTTCTTTAATATGCTGAATCTAACCGTGTATTTAGTTTTTGGATTTCGGGCCCCGTTTTTAAATTGGTCCACATTGAGGTCCAAAGGGTCCAAAATTAAACTTTGTTTGATTTCATCAAAAATTGAATTATTGGGGTTCTTTGATATGCTGAATCTAACCGTGTATTTAGATTTTTGATTATGGGCCCAGTTTTCAAGTTGGTCCAAATCGGGGTCCAAAATTAAACTTTGTTTGATTTCAATAAAAATTGAATATATGGGGTTCTTTGATATGCTGAATCTAACCATGTATTTAGATTTTTGATTTTTGGGCCCCGTTATCAACTTTGTCCACATTGAGGTCAAAAGGGTCCAAAATTAAACTTTGTTTGATTTCATAAAAAATTGAATTCTTGGGGTTCTTTGATATGCTGAATCTAACCATGTATTTAGATTTTGGATATTGGACCATAATAGGTGAATGTCCAATTTAAAATTTTTAGAAGTTCTTAGACCACATTCATTCTGTGTCAGAAACCTATGCTGTGTCAAATATTTAATCACAATCCAAATGCAAAGCTGTATCAAGCTTGAATATTGTGTCCATACTTGCCCCAACTGTTCAGGGTTCGACCTCTGCTGTCGTATCAAGCTGCGCCCTGCGGAGCATTTTATTAGTTTCTGTTCTCTACTTAAGTTAGCCTCAACCAAATGTTATGAGACTTACACACAATGCTTATTACCACAAAACTCAGATCAAGTTCAAATTTGAGTAGCTACACTTTTACCATTCTTCAGTTATGTCCCTTTATAACTATATGATATGCAAGCGGGGGCATCATCTGTGTCCACATGTGGACACTATCCACATTTATTTATTGATGAATTTGTCAACTCAATAGGTTTAATTTAGTTGTTTTAATGTCTGTCTCTAACTAATTATTCCTTCTCTACAGTTTTTGAATGTTTTGAGGTACAGGTATTTATTTCGTATAGTTGTTCTTAACCACCAACAAGTGTATTCTGGTTGGAATTTAAGGTCAACAGACAGTTCAATGAAACAGAATCTGACTCAATTACACGATTAGTTTATTGTAGAACTCCTTGGTATGATTTTTAACTTCAAATGCAACAAGTTATGGCAGAAATTTTATTTGAATGTCCACCATTCATAAACTGAAATTGTACACTAGTTACTTTGCAAACATTTTAAGACATGAACTTGTGCTAATTTTGATTTTTTATGGCCCTGCAACAAAGTTGTCTGGGCCATAAAGTTTTACGTTTATGTGTCATTCTGTCATTCCGTAATTGACAATGAACAGTTATAAGGACTTTTTTTCTAAACGCCTTCACATATCGAGTTGATTTTTAGAATGGGAGTCTACTATGATGAGTTTACGTTTGATTCGGCTCCGCTGATTTTGGCAGAATTACTGACTTTGGACTTTCAAAAGTCCAGTAATTTTCCATCTCAAATCTTCTTCAAAGCCTTGTGGCTAGAGCATTATTGCTGTAAAAATTATATTTACATCCACAGAATATTAAATGAAAGCTAAAATGATAGCTTGTCAGAATGTCTACAGTAAAAAAATAAAACAATAGGGAATACTTTTATTTCTTGACCTATTGACCTTTTCAGGAACCAGTTAATGGCAGCCATTGGTATGAACATGGAGGATAGTAGTAATGTATTGTTAGACCTTGCAGAACAAGCTATTAGCAGTAATAAAATTACCACTTCAGCTGAAGTACTGAAAATGATTGATGCTGTACAAACATCAGATGTAACTAGTGTAAGTGGAAAATTAGTTACTATTAGTACTTCACTCTTTTGTGTCAGAAGAGTCTCCCAAGTTTTTTTTTGGCTGACAATGCCAAAAGGTCAGTGTATACTATTGCAATCACTGCATCATACGTGCAACATATAAATAAACGATAGCAAGTGAGAGGTTTGATTTTAATCAGACTGAAATCTTATCTGAATCCATAGGTCAGTTAATTGGTCTACTATGATAATTGTGGTGTCAGATCATGAAATTGTTGCAATTCAGAGGGATCACTTTTGTCATATGCCATATCAATGTAACACTTTGTTATTCCACAACTCCTAGAAAACAAAATTCAACCAAACTTTCACAATATTTTTTAACAGGACATGAATTTGTGTACCTGCTTTTGTCATTTTGAAGATTAGTGATTTTTGAGGTTTACATACCAAAGCATGTACTTCCCCATTTCTGCTTATAATTTTTGCTGATGTCAGATGACACAGGTCTTCTTTTGACACTTTTATCATAACACAGCATTGTGTTTGGTGTTAATAATAATTTGTATTGAAAAAAACTGCAAGTTTATAACATTAGTTTCTGTGCATTGTCATTCAAATATATATTGAATTTTAAAGAACATTACCATACTGGATATTCTTTGTGCAATGCAGCCTTTTACTATACACACGGACAGAATACTGTATATGTTCTGATTCATAATTGACATTCATTTAAGTGAGAGAAAAAAAGTTATTGAACCAAGCCATTATCTTATGTCTAATTGAAACTTAAACTTAATGTAAGTAAATTTTATTTCAGAAGATTTATTTTAATTGTGTATCTTATAAACTAAATTTGGAAAGTTTTAGTGATTTGTGAAAAGAAATTTAAACTAATAGTTTTACACATTATATTAACAGGTGGCAAAGAAAGTAATCGGTGGAAAACCATCAATGGCAGCTATAGGGGATCTTCAAACAGTACCATATTTAGACGAACTGAAGAAATAGAAATGTTATCATGGACTCATGAAGATCTGACAATAGCAAATTTTTGACAGTGTTTGAAAATAGAAGCATGTGAACTGAAACTGTGAATGGAACTTATTATTTATGTGTTACGAGATATAATATTTTATATGAAAATTGGTCATTTAGTAGATGGATAAGCTATTTGATTTATAAATGACCGGTGAAATAAAATGATTGATGTTTTCAGTTTGTAATCCTTTAAAAAATTCAACATCTTACGATTTCAGTTAACTAACTACTGGTTATTCTCTTGTACCCAATATTGTTTGAAGAGAAACATGTATTTTTCTGGCACTGTTGTACTGTTGTTGTCAACACCCAACATAAACTTTCTCTGATAAGGTGCAATTCAGAATAAGTGCTTTCTATATACTACTGATGTTTGGTAAAGTTTTACTAGTAAGTATTCATGCATCTCTGGTCCAAGCCATATTTGTCACACAACCACTTGAACATGCTCTGGAACATTTTATTGAACTTCATTCAGCTGTAGTTTTGTCTTGCCTTTTTGTTGCAGAATGGGAGACAGGGATAACAATCCGGCAGCTGTGGCATTAGCTATTTGTATAAAGCTTTATATTTCAGAAGGTAAAGACCTAGATACTTCATACCTTGTATGCAGATACCTTATTTGATGAAGTTTCTGTTTGTCATATGTCTATTGTCCTTGACCCCATTTTCATGGTTCAGAAAGAATTCATTAAAGAATTTGTTATGGATAGATACAAGAGTAAATAAATAAATTGTCCTACAGTTTGGAAAAATTTTAACTATCGCAATGGCATCAAAAACCATTTCAAGTTGTACTTTAACATCACTGTTTGCAAAATCTAATGTTTGTGGAAGTATATTCATGTATATGGCAGGGGCATCATCTTTGCTTTTTTTTTCATATTTATGGAATTTTGCAATTTGAACATCAGTAAACGACTGTAGCTTTTAACAGTGTACCATACTGTATGATTCTGTTCATTGTTGATAGCTGTACATTGATAGGTATACATCTCTGTGTCATTTTGTCTTTGTTAGATAGGTGTTGTTGGCAATCATAACATGAACTGAGTTCCCTCAGATCGGTTCTTTGTGTCTTGTCTTTATGTTGGTTGTTTTTTTGTGACTCTTGCTGATCTGAAGAAGACATTTTCAACTGATTTTTGTCTCGCCTGCGACTTTCGTCGCAGTATGCAAGACATAGGTATTACTATCCGGCGGCGGCTGCGTAAACTATTTGTATAAAGCTGTATATTTCAGAAGGTAGAAGACCTGGATGCTTCATATCTTGTAAGCAGATACCTTATGTTACGAAGTTTCTGTCAATCATATGTCCATTGTCCTTGACCTCATTTTCATAGTTCAGCGACTGCTTGAAAAAAAATTTGATTTCTCACTTATTATGAGTAATAGGATAACTATATTTGGTATGTGAGTTCCTTGCAATGTCTACATGTCTGTCTGACAGAGTTCACCTGACCTCTACCTTATTTAATGGATCAGTGATCAAGGTTAAAGTTACGTGATTAGGTCCGTTTCTCAAATACTATAAGCAGTAGGTCAACTATATTTGGTGTATGGAATGATTGTAAGGTATACAAGTCTGTCTTGCAGGTGTCATCTGGCCTTGATCTGATTTTCATGGTTCATTGGTCAATGTTAATTTTTTGTGTTTTGGTCTGTTTTTCAAGTACTATAAGCAATAGGTCAACTATATTTGGTGTATGGAATGATTGTAAAAGAGGGATGAAAGATACCAGAGGGACAGTCAAACAAACTCATAGATCGAAAACAAACTGACAACGCCATGGCCAAAAATAAAAAGACAAACAGACAAATAATAGTACAGATGACACAACATAGAAAACTAAAGACTAAGCAACACGAACCCCACCAAAAACTGGGGGTGATCTCAGGTGCTCCGGAAGGGTAAGCAGATCCTGATCCACATGTGGCACCTGTCGTGTTGCTTATGTTATTACAAATCCGGTAAATAGTCTAATTCGGTAGGTCACATTAAGGTGTACAAGTCTGTCTTGCAGGTATCATCTGACCATGACCTCATTTTCATGGTTCATTGGTCAATGTTAAGTTTTTGTGTTTTTGTCTGTTTTTCAAGTATTATAACCAATAGGTCAACTGTATTTGGTGTATGGAATGATTGTAAGGTGTACATGTAAATCTCGAAGGTATCATCTGACCTTGACTTATTTTTTATGGTTCATTGGTCAATGCTAAGTTTTTGTGTTTTGGTCTGTTTTTCAATTAGCATACACAATAAGTCAACTATATTTGGTATATAAAAAATTGAAAGGTGTTTATGTCTGCTTGACACAATTTATCTGACCTTGAGGTCATTGTCATAGATTTTTAAAAATGTTAAGTTTCCGTAATGCTTTTAGTAAAACCTTTATCTTTAAGACTTTCAACATAAAATCAATGGTCAGTAAAACAGGCGAGACATTTCAGCGTGTGCACTCTTGTTACAGTTTGTTCTTATGTTGTGCTGTTACAACACTGTCCAAGGTTAGGGGAAGAATGAAAGTGTTCACAAACATGTTAAACTCCCAAATTCTATATGTGCCTGTACCAAGTCAGAGCCTGTAATGCAGTGGGTTGTAATAATTAATAATTAAAAAAAATAATAATGATTATAATAATAACAAGTAGTATGATATATATTTTCATGAAAGCAAATTAATAGAAAAAAACATAACTGGCAATGATTTGTATTAGTTTTGAAATACAAATTACTTTTGAGGGGATGGAGTTAATGCAGTATATATATATTTTTTTAATCTTTAAACAAAAATTAATTAGCTTAGCTTATCTATTTTAGAAACATTAAAACTAAATTTCTTCTGGACTCTTGCAACAAACCATTTATGTCTGAATCAGTTTTCTTGCAATTGGACAATTCAATTAGTCTCCTTATATAATTTTAGTTTCTTGTGTAAGAGATTACATATTTCTATATTGCAGAACTAAACAAATATCTATACAGTGAACAATCTATAAAAGCTAACCGCGGAATACTTCAGTTGATATATTCTACAATGGCTTCATAAACACGTGAGGCATAGTCAAGAAAATTTTTTGAATTAGCATAGGATTTACCTATCTCGATAACATTACGCTATCAGCTGATTGACTCTTTCATCCAAAAGCGCCAATCAAAATCCTGGATTCGTGCCGTGTTTTTATCGTATAAAAGTTCATGCCCTTAAATGTGGAAATGACTAAATTATTCGGGTTATCTTTATAAAAATAAGATGGGGTATAGTTGCTATTGGGACACCTATCCACCAGTGTTCAAATGAAGTTGATATTAGCAATTATAGACTACGGTTTCTCCACTTTTTTCATCTCAAAACTATAATCACACAAAGTTAATATTATTCACTTTTTAGCCTCAAAACCACCATACGAAATTGTTTTTCTTCACTCTTCCATTAGAAAATTAACACACAAAGTTATTTAGTCTTCATCCATTTTTGGACTACTGGTACATTACCCCATTTGAAGTGCTTTGTTACTTTTGACAATTTCAAAACTACCAAACATGGTTAACTAACTTGTATATATATATGCTGATAGCAGTGTCAAGATTATCTGTCTATGTTATCTTTTATGTACACTTTCATTTTACAAACTACCACACAAAGTTGTCAATTTTGTATACTTCAACGTTCTCTTCATTTTCAATGGTAGCACCTCCAATAAATAAATACCCAAGGAAGGTCATAGAATATGGAAACTCTATTCCAATCTCTACCAAATTATAGAAGGTTAGAATGTTACCTTGGCTGTTGAGTATGTGTAAGTAGTGATTGGTTGGATCTGCTATAATAAAGTTATCTGATGGTAACGATAAAATGTCTGATGGTTTGAACGGATTGTCATCACTATTTATTTTTGGATGGCCCATGTAAACATTCTTGAGGAATCCTTCCTGGTTTAATACAATAATCCTACCTTCACATTCTTCATTTATCCAGTCTATAACACCAATAATATTTGACTTTTTACTATGGATTCGAACAGGAAGAGTAAATAACGGTTTGTTTTGATTGTCATATTGGAAAACTTGTTTCTGCTTTCCTGTAATGTCCATCACTATAACTTGTCTTGGTCCTGAAGCAGGGAATACTGGTCCATTATCCTTGACACCAACCATTACATTGTTTTCATGTGTTACATGAATACAGTTTGCCCAGAGTGGTGATACATTGTATGGGGAATCTCTTACTTCCAGTGTACCTACTGGTATAACTTTTAAGATAGATTGGTTACTCAAAAGACAAAGCAGTACATCACCATTAGGCATCAATGATAGATCGTTAACCCCAATGTCAAAGTTGTATATGACTTTCATGACTGTTGCTGTTAGATTGACTTTCTGTAATTGTTTGGAACCCTTATCATTTATCCAGAATAAACCATCAGGGCACGATATAATATTGTTGCATCTTTTGACATCTGTTGAATACCACTGTATTACAATGGGAACTGGATTGTACGGATTACCGACTCTCTTCAGGGAACCAACAAGCTTAGGGATAATGGATATGTCTCCTGGAACAAACTCAGGGACATGATTGAATTTTGTTTTGTCTAGTATGATCGGCGGAATGGATTGTGCACTACTGTCAGGAGTGAAAAAAACGTCCTCTGCATCATGTGATTGCAATAAATCATTTACCTGATCTTTTTGTTTGGTTAATTTTTTACATGTTTCATTCACCTTCTTTTCCGCTTTATCGATTGATTTGGTAAAATCCTCCCACTTTTGATCAACTTCATTCAAAAGTTTATTAATATGTTTCTTCACAGCATCTGATAAAGTTTGTTCATAACTTCGTATTTCTCGTCTTGTTCTTTTACAGCTGACTTGTTCTAGGTATTTTATTTTGCGTAGTTCTTCTGCACCTCTTGTGAAGCTGTGAATTGCGGAATCAATATTTTCCCGTTTTTTTATAATTTTTGCCATTTTGATGTCATATCCTTCACACAGTTCTATCAAATCGTGTCTTTTATGAGTTTTTGCAATACACTCTGGACACACAATTTGATCACAAGACTTACAGAACATGCAGCAATTTTGTGTTGTATGGTTTCCACAGACAACTTTATTGAAGTTTTGTTTTGGTTTAGACTCTGTCTCATATTTACCGATATCTCTTATGTCTATAACTGTATGGTCCTTAGCTGACGGAAACTTTGGATGGACTTTATCACAACATCTTTGACACATCATCAATCCGCATTCTAAACACTTCCACTTAACTTTTGGTTCAGTTTCACACAACTGGCAAACACTGGCAGCCTCTCCTTTTTTTATTGATCGTCGTAATGGCACTGGGGTAGTTGCCGCAGCCTGTTCTTTTCTTATTGATCGTGGTAATGGTACTGGGGTAGTTGCCGCAGCCTGTTCTTTTCTTATTGATCGTGGTAATGGTACTGGGGTAGTTGCCGCAGCCTGTCCTTTTCTTATTGATCGTGGTAATGGTACTGGGGTAGTTGCCGCAGCCCGTCCTTTTCTTATTGATCGTGGTAACGGTACTGGGGTGGTTGCCATTTTATATACGTATACTTCTTCCTTTTACAAATTAAGGCCTTTGCTATTTATATATTCGTCAAAAATCAGTGACATTGTAGTTTCAACCTATGACTTTAATATATATATATATATATGGTTCATTTAAAGTATACTTATTTCCAGTCAAGAACCATAAAACTTCAGTGAACAAAAATAATTATTTCATATTCAACAATAACATTTTAAATTTGAAATACTAGTACCTATTATGAACACTTGAAAGAATTAGAAACAACTGTTTAATTTTACAGTGGAATACAAAGGTTATTTGTTATGTTCTTTTTAAAACTTAGAATATCACCAGTAATAGATGAAGATATCTTTCACAAACCTCTTTTTAATATTTTATAGACGACTCCTTAAAAGATTTATTTCCCTTCATTGATTCAAAGACAGTAGTGGGAATCAACTCTGATATCAATACACATCTTGAACCAAATTTTATTCAATAGCTTACAGAAACATAAGATACTGATAAAACACATTCATTATTCTTATCAACTGCTTAAATTTGACAAATCGCATTTTCCACATTAATTAATAAATGGCAATTTAAAAATATAAAATTTGATTTACATGAGGAACTATATGCAAGTGTATATCTAAAGTAAAGTTGTTCGCCCAACCTTTTCTTAAAGGACAAATAACATATCAAAAGTTGGAAGTTGATTATTAAAATGGTGTATAAAGTTTCTGCAAGTCATAGAAACACAAGTCATAATTATTTTCATGACATGTCTTCAACTTAGAATTTTGCACCACCTCCAAATCCGGAGTGATCACATAGATCCAGCATGGCTGAATCAAAAACTGATAAAAGAATATTACAGTAACCAGGCTTATAATAAATCATGAGAAACATTTATTTTGTTTCTGTAGCCACGGCCCAAACAATTCCTAAAATAGTCCACCAGAGGTCAGCAATATCGGACATTACGGTATTGTGTTAAATGCACTATAGACAAAGTATTGTTATGATGATTTGCTCTAACAGCTTTAAAACACCAGAGGTTATTCAAACAAAGATGAAGAATGAAGATAATTTGGGAGGGAATGAGGTGGATTTCTTTAAAGATTTGTAAATGAACTATGTTGATCCTGGTCAACTTATTATTCACTTCTGTAAATTAGACAAGGTAATTTCCGTTAGGAACTCCTTTTACACCTAAAACTGTGTCACTTTTACTATGAAATTTCATTAAAAAATTCATATCCTGGAATGGAATGTCACATGCACTACTTTTTTTAAAAGGTCAAAACATAGGGTATGCATGTATATGCCTGAGGACCAATTCTCTGAAGTTTAAACTTAAACTGAAATTTTGTACTTTCCCCCCTGTTCTTTTTTTTGAGTGTTTTTGAAAATTTATTTTGACCTCTATCCGATGTATTTATACTGATAAAATTCCCAAGGTGTGACTCTATAGATGAAACATGTAGATGATATCTGGGAACCAATCATTAGGTAAAAAAATATCTGCATATTTTTTAAAAGTATCTCCCAAAAAGACATGTAGTTTATGATAAGCTATATTTACAAAGTGCCAATTAAAGATGCCATAATTTCCCAAAATGTGCGATAAAGGCTCTTAAGAAACTTTTATTTTGTTTTCCATTTATTGTGACTATGACAGCATCCTGCTTTCATTGTTGAAGAATCTTCTTAGCTGTTATCTATGACGAGTTTACATATCCATAAGCAAAGAGGAAAAGACTGAAAGATAGTCCAAACTTTCATGCATTATATAACTTCAAAAAAGTTCCTATCCTTCGAACAATATGATTTATATATGTATAGTTAACTGATATTTGAAGTTTTCTATGAAACTCAGCATCCTCTAGCTGTCATCCTTGTCAAGCAATTATTTTGGAAAAGGAAATTTGAATTGGACTAAAGAGGATTGATGGGTATTTAAGTCCTTCTTCAATATCTGGTTGTTGAAATATTTTATTGTAGAATCTTTACCAGACTATTTAAAAAAAATGCAAAATGAAGAGTCCCATTAAATAGATACAAAAGCTATTGATCTCTGTTGAGTTCATTCGTTGCAAACTTTAATGACACACATTGTAAGAGCATCAGATATTAATTACAAATTTATGTAAATAATAGACTACTGGAGAACCAGTTTTAATTTAGTCGTACAGAAAATTCTGAGAAGTATACATTTTTTTTTACCTGCAACGAAAGTCATAGAATGGGAGACATATATAGGGATTACAAAATGGCGGAGGTGAGGGCGTAAACTATTTCTTCAAAGTTTAATATTTCAGAAGGTAGAAGGTAAAAGACCTAGATACTTCATACTTTGTATGCAGATGCCTTATGTTACAAAGTGTTGTCTGTCATACGTCCTTTGTCCTTGCCCTCATTGTCATGGCTCAAGCGCCTGCTTGAAATTAAAATTTTTTTTTTGTCATGTGAAATACTCACTTTTTATGAATAATAATATAATAACTATATTTGGTATATGGCGTCCTTGCAAGGTCTACATTTCCGCCAGACAGGGTTCACCTGACCTCGACCTCATTTCATGGATCATTTATCAAGGTTAATTACTTGTGGTCAAGTCTGTACATCAGATACTGTAAGAAATAGGTTGACTATATTTGATTTGTGGAATGATTGGAATGTGTCCATGTCAGACTGGCAGGTTTCATCTGACCTTGATCTCATTTCTATGGTTCAGTGGTCAATTGGAAGTTTTTGTTGTTTGGTCTGTTTCTCAGATACTATGAGCACTGCATTTGGTGTTAGGAATATTTTTTAGGTGTACATGTCTGTCTGGCAGGTTTCATCTTACCTTGACCCTGTTTCATGGTCCATTGGCCAATGCTTAGATTTCTCAGTTTGGTCTCTTTCTCAGATACTATAAGCAGTAGGACCACTAAATTTGATGAATGGAATGATTGTAAGGTGTACGTCTGTCTGGCAGATTTCATCTGACCTTTACCTCATTTTCATATAGTTCATTGGTCAATGTCAAGTTTTCATGGTTTATGTTAATCAGGGACTGTAAACAATAGGTCGACTATAATTGGTGAATGGAATGATTGTAAGGTGTACAGACATGTCTGTATGGCATGATTCATCGGACCTAGACCACATTTTCATGGTTTAGTAATTAATGCTAAGTTTTCATGGTTATTCCTAACCGAATAATACAGTCGTTAAATTACGCTCACTATCGATCATTAAAGGCGGAGAGAATCGGAGACGGTAAGGGTTTGAATTATTCGAGTAAGGTTATTCCCGTTTCTCAAATACTGTAAGCAATATGTCAACTATATTCAGCTCATGGAATGATTGCATGGTCTTCATGTTGTATAGCAAATTAATGTTCATCTGACAACCTCATTTTTATGGTTCATTTGTCAATGTTCAATTTTCGTAATTAGGTATGTTTCTTAGATACTATAAGCAGTAGTATGACTATATACGGTGTATGGTATGAAATTCAATCATGATAAGTAAAGCAAGCAAGACATTTCAGCGTGTGCACTTTTGTCTAACAAGGGTTTGAATTTAGAACAAGTAGAGTCAACAATTTTACACTCGTCACCACGATTTCGCTCAACTGTACTTCTGAAAACCGCTGTGGCCCCCGTTTGGTCAGATCGTCATTGCACAGATACGAACATTTAGTTTGATAAAGGCGCTAAAAGGTCTTTTGTAACGGAGAGCCTTGCACATAAATTGAACCTGCTAGGGAGAAGGAGCCGACAATATTCAACTTTCACCATTTGGAGAAACCAACACTAGTGCTAGCTAGGCGACTTGATTAAGCCACAGTTTATGTTGAAACTGAAATTGGACATAAAATCCCAAAACAGGTTTTAATCGTTCCTATGATAGCTACGCTGTTACAGAACCACATTCGTTACATTAACAGGAATAGTAATTATTTGAAAGAACTAAAGCTTGCACATCTGGGAAATAGTTGAAGATAAAGTTGTTCGCGGAAACGGACCAACTGCAGTCAAATCGAAACTAGGGTACTTACCTTAATGATCGTTACATTCAGGAAAATCAGTTATCAACAGCGTCAAGTATTTTCAATGTACTTATTTCACATAAAACCAAGGAACACGACTTTGAAGCGTTTTAAAAGCTTGGGGCTATAGGAATCGAGTCTCCAGAAGTGCACGAAAAAGAGAATAATTATATATAAAGAAGTTACCAAGAATCATCAATTGAGTTTCGAGACAACAAATATTATGCAAAGTTACCTTGGAAAAACGACCATGATGAGTTACCGTTAAACTATGCTGTTTCAAAGAAAAGAACAGAAAGTGTTATCAAAAGACTGCGTCAAGAACAAAGCATGTTAAAGAAGTATGGCGATATCATAACAGATCAAGAACATCGCGGATTTATTGAAAAAGTAAATGAAACTGAGCCGACTCCAAACAAAGTTTATTACATTCCACATTATCCTGTAAACAAGAGGCTCGTAAGAGCCTGATATCGCTCACCTGTAATTTCAGTTTCAGGCATTTGACTTATTTGTAGATCTTACTTTGCCGAACAATTTTGTCATTTACACTTTCTCTCTTTCTATAATAATATTAAAGATAATACATAACCCAAAATTGTAAAATTTCCTAAAAATAAACTATTTCTGGACAGAAACCCAACAAAATAAGTTGTCCTATTGGTCTGAAGATTACTTGACAGGTAGATCTAAACCTGTTTAACACTTTCACCTATGTCAGTTTTGCTCTTACTGCTTTAGTTTTTGAGATGAAAGCCAATAACATCATTTGACCCCTATGTTCTATTTTTAGAAACTGCCGCCATGTTTTTGAATAGATCAAATCCCTGAATAAAATCTATAAACTAGATATCCTAAGGAACATTCAATTAAAGTTTTTAAGTATTTGGCAAAGTAGTTACAAAGAAGAAGATTTTTGAACAAGAGGCTCTCAAGAGCCTGAATCGCATCTGTATTTTTTTGCTTAAATCTTTCA